CTCAATGGTAAATCAAGAAAGGAAAGCCCAGTCCCCGATGCTGGCAATCTTTTAGAACATATATTTACTTTGCATTTTGTAGTTTCTTTTCTGTTAAGTGCTACTTGCTTTGAGACATTGTTGTTTAAACATGGTTTTTTTAATGGAATAAATGTGAATCTTTTGATTAAATCCATTCGTGTTCACTCATAGTTTTTAATATCAAACACTTGTTTAAGCAAAATTCGAGGGAGGATGATGAAACAGAAAGACGCAAAAACCTCTAATTGTGTGCTTTTTAATAAAACCTTGTTGATGATGTACATGCATTGTTTCAACCCCCTAACGCTGAAGAGATAAGGAGTTAGTCCTTAGTTAACCACTTCGATCCTAGAAGTAGGAGTTTCCTTCGAATTTCTAAACCCTTACGCTTAACCCGGGGTAGAGTAGTGTTCAGTTAAACTAATTCCACAGATGTATCGATTGTTCTTCAATGACCAATGACTTGGCAGTCACAAACCTTTCCAAAAAAAAAATAAGAAAGCCTTCTAAGTCGAACAAGCAAAAAGGAGACTTAGGCAAAATCAAGATAATCCCGATGGGTTAAGAGCTTCAAAAGCAGTCCATACAAAAGTTAGGGATCAAAACTAAGAAAATCAAAAGGAGTCCTTAAATCCTCAGGCAAAAATAAGGTTCGGTGAATACTATGTCAAAAAAAATCAAAAGGGTTACTGATATCCATGGCCAAAAATATAATAAGGTGACTGTCATTTCAAGCGAATTTTGAAACGCCATCCTTACACCACTAAATCCTAGATGCGTGTGTCAAGTTAGTAGAATGGGTGGATTAAAACAAAGCTTTGAGCCTTATATCCTTTCTTTCTCAAACCGTGAACCAGGCCATGTCACGACCCTCGAAAGACATAATTGAAGCAAGTTTGTTTCGAAAGCATACTTCGGTAAGATCACGTTAAAACTGACTCTTAAAAGGATTTTATTACCATTCATGTGACATTCTGATCAGTAATTTATTCACCATATATCATAACATTTCCAGTGAACAGACTTGGATTTCATAACTGTCACATGCATTACATTAAAATCAACATTTTCAAAACGAGATCAGTTTTACTTGCGAGTAAGCACTTGACCCCAAGAAAGTTTCTGCAATGAAAGGATTGATTAAGTTAAGATGCAAAACTCCAGAAGACTTTGTTGAGCAGGAAGGAAAGCCACCCCAATATTCAACTAATCCGGGGCAATCAGATCGAGGTTTGATAAATCTCTCGAAGACCAGTTGATCAGAAGCAATCAGGTCGAGATTAGACAAATCTCTCGAAGGTCAGTTAGTCTGGGACAACTACTTCACAGATCAACCAGCTAGCAGGGGCAAGTTTGCTTCCCAGTTGTTACTCCCACAATCTGAAAGACGAGTTCGAGGACTTTGTTTTACAAATACAGTTAATCTAAGTCAATTACGTCGAGATTTGTTGAATCTCTCTAAGAGTTTGAAGACATTGAGACATCTTGTATGCCAATTCTTCTGTAAAATCTTCTTGATGGCTTCAAATCTCCCCTGCCATGTAATTTGGGGCAGAGGAGATTTGAAGATTATTTGTTGCAAGATCCGTTTCCCGTTTGTGATGGTCGCTATGCAATTGAAGTACATACCTACATTGTTCTTGTAATATCTTTTTCCAGCTCCTCAGTAAGTTATCACTTCAGTTTGATCTTGGCAATTCCCCATGGATCTTTCTCTTCCAACAAGGAAATCAGGCTTATGATGGCAATCCATAATGAAGTCACGGCGTTATGCCTCTAAGTGAAGTACTTTTTTCCTCAAAGAAGGTTGAAACCTTGAATAAAACTGTTTGTTCTGCATGTTTATCCTGAGTGATGTTTCAATCTGGTGAAGTTGGTTAGGCATCCTTGTCAAGATTTTTATTTCATCTCCAGTTTTACATCCCATTGTCTGGTTTGTCAGCATAAGCATAAACATGACATACATGCATTAATACATATGCATAACATACAAACATTTTTGCTACCATTATGGTGTTTACCTATTTCGTTCATTTTGGCGTTTATTCCCTAAGTGACTGGGTTTGTCTTTCTCTCCAATAGAGTCATCAGCCTTAAGCATAAAGTGCCCATCCTTTCTAAATTTCCCACAGAGTTTAATCCTCGTGGATATGTTTGGATAAGATAAATCCCCATTTGAGTTCATTCCTCAATGGGTAGAGTCTTGTTTGACCGTTTCTTTCTAGCATATTCCTAGATTGAACTTTGATCTCTGACAAGTGTTGTCTTTAAACCTAATTAGGTCGCCGAACCTAGTTTAAACGTGCATTTATTTTGCACTGTGTCTCACAGGAAATATCTTTTTTAGATCCTCATTGAAGACATAATCCATTCTACAACAATGTTATCGTAACAACATCTCTTTGAGAAACTTGTTTTCTATGGCGATAAATGGCAATCTCTCCTGGGAAGCTTATCCGTCTTTGGTGTTATTCAACCTTTTTGTAGTTACAATTGGTATTACTCTCGATCAATCCTTGTCCATCAACCCCTCGATGAATGTCATACACCAAATTTGTCCCACCTTTTTAAATTTTTCTTGCATTCGATTTGCATCGCCTGCCTAGTATAACTTGTTTTTCAGCATGAATAATGTCTGTAATGTCAGCTACATTGAATTCTCGGATATACAGACATACCGATTAAACTACTTCTCAAATTTGTAAAAAATCAGTGGTTATAAAGTTTCGAATTTAAGCTTGCAGAAGTCAGTGATATTGATCTACTGCTCACGTAGTTTAACCTGACGTGCTCGTATTACTTTTCGACGACTTTTCAGTCACATTTTGATCAATCTAATCATTTTTATCGGTCCCGGTTAATTTCAAAATCTGACAAAATGCTGTATTTTTTCGAATGGTTTATTCTGTGTTGATCATTTTAGTGCAATATTTTTTTATTTTATTTTTATTTTTCGAACATTTGCGCATCCGATTTTTATTCGTTTTTTAAACCCTTTTTATTTTTATTTTTACCTAATACTCATTGGAATTAGTTAGAATTATTTGTGTGTTAATTTCTTTTCAATTTGTTGTTTTATTATTATTTATTTATTTTTATTATCCAAATTTATTCAAAATAGTAGTGAGAAAAGGAATATATATTAACGTTAAAGGAAGTTGATGCATTTACAACCACTTGCCACCTGTAAGGAATTCAAACTGAATTGAGATGGAATCCATTAGCATTAAACGCGAACCTCCATAACCTCACTAAACAACTACATCATATAACTCACACCATAAAGAAACCTTTCCATTTCTCTTTCAAACAAAACTTACCTAAAACCATAAACTCCATACTTCATCAAACTCCATACCTTTCTTCTTCTTCAACCTTTTCCGACGAGCTCCTTCAACGCGATAACTTACCAACTCCACCTTACATAGCTGCATAAATCATCAACAACAACAAAATCGTTGCAACACATCACTTCGAACGCACCTTGTTCAACTGTCACACAACCACCTAAACGCAACATGAACACAATAATTTTCAGCAGCCACGCGAAAACGTTAAACCCATGATAAGCCATCTTTAATCAACTTACAAACTCACCTTCATCCTTCCGACATCTGCCACGATTTCCACATAAACACTCCACCTCACTATTTTCAGTTTTCAAAAACAAATCCTCCGCCTCCAAGCAACCATATAACCATATAATCTTTTCCACCCTGTAACAGAGACGAAACCGTGCATTACCATGTAACATTTTGATCGGTTTTTCTTCACTCGCATCCACCAAACGAACCACTCATTCAAACAACATCATCAACCATAAGCAACATCCCTCTGTTCAAATCTCCGGCGACACTTTCAAAGTGACAACATCAACTTCGAAACACTTCGTAACAATTATAACTTCCCTATCTCGACAGCTGTGGCTCCCATCCGGCCATCTACGCACAAGGTTCAGCAGTAACAGCGATGCGTTTCGAAACATTCATACCCAACAACCTCTACAGCAGTGTGTAATTTGAAGAGGAAGATGCCGGATCATGAATGGTCGTGTGACTGCGGCAACTGGGTTTATTTGGTTGAGTCACAATGATATATTAGCTTGCAGCAGATATTCATATGTTCCATAAAGGTTGAAATTCCTCCCATTCTCTTTTAACATTTATGGTATATTATGTTTTTTATATTATGTTTTTTGTGTTATGTTATTTTAATTGAGGAAGAAGAGAGTATTTTAAGCTTGAAAAGTGAAAAAAATAAAGTGCTGAGATGAATAGATGTTTTTTGGTGAATTTTTTATTTATAATAATCATATATTAAATATAAATTATTATAATAATCAATATTTTAAATTTTTTTTCAAAATGGCCAGCAATTCAACGTCCTTTCGCCATATGGCGAATGAGAAGAAATGAAAAATGGAATAGATGAATTCGCCATCTGAATTGACGAATGAGCCAATCCAAAGAATTTGTCATGCTGATTGGCGAATGAGTGTGTACCAATTTTTTTTTCTCGTTGTAGGGTTTAATTAATTTAGATTATTTTTATATCTTTTAAATATTAATAGTTTTAAATAATTAATTGAAGTTTAAGTAATATTAAAAAAAATGAAATAATTTGGTGTCCTTGATCAACTTTGCAAAGATTTATTGCGTCCCTCTTTGTGTGGACGCACCTCAGGCGGAAAGCGATGGCCGCCTGAGGGGTCAGGGAATTAATTTAAAATACCTCAGAGAATAATACAACAATATTGTCTTATCTGATGATAGCACCGAATTTGACATAATAGTCAAGACACGGTGTTATATTATGATTTTGTTCGGTCACTTTTTATTTCCAGACGGAACTGGGAATAAAGTCCATACCATGTATTTGCCTTTATTACAAAATATCAACAAAATGCACGAATATAGTTGGGGATCAGCTGTACTCGCCCATCTATATAGCTCACTTTGCAAAACTTCAAAAAAAAATTCATGTACTTTTATGGCTGTGCCTATCTCCTACAAGCGTGGGGTTGGTCTAGGATGCCAACGCTTGCTCCAATAAACCGGAATTTTTTTACATTCCCGTACGCCAACAAGTAAGTTTCTTTTCAAGATGATTTAGCAACTAAATTTTCTTTGTAACTTAATAATTTGTGAGATGTGTTTTAGATGCTAACTTATATGTGTTTATTTTTTTTAGGTGGTCTGTTCTAGGGATGAATTATCAGAGATGTCCCAGACACTCTATAATTCAATACCGCAACCTCATCGACCACCTTGAGCCCGATGATGTAAGTTATTTACCTTTAATTTGTCTAACTTATATGCATAAACTTCTCTATCTCTGTCTGTCTAAATGTATCCACCTTTATTGTAGTTTGTCTAGATGCCGTACGAGGGACTCGACCACCAACCTGACCCCAATGATGCTGCTGTGTGGACATCAAGAACACCAATAATTAGGTTCACTACGGTGGAGATGCACCAAAGTGACCGGGTTAAGCTACAATTTGGGATGCATCAGAAAATTCCAGATGCTCCGGTAGAGTTAGGGCAGTTGCATCAAAAACGGGTGGACGCACAATGGAGTGTCAATCATTGGAATGAGTTTGCGAATGAGTTGTGTAAACACTGGAAGAGAAGAAGGCAGCACGTCTTAACCGACCGTATTGTGCACGGGGCTAGGCCAACTCTTCAATATATGACTTGGTTTAGGTCTGTCACGACATCTCAGCCTTTCCTGTCCCAACCAACCTATTTGGTCGACCCAAGGCAACGCGCTTCTTCGTCAAACACACAACAACAGTCCAGTGCCCAAAATCAGCCTTACGAAAACCCATACATGCCACCCACCTAGTCCCAGCCTCAACCAACGTACCATCATAGCCCTGATACGTCTTTTGACCATACCCCCTCCGCCTATAGCCCAAACAACTCATTTGACCCTACCCCTTCCGCCTATATCCCAGACAACTCATTTGACTCTACCCCCTCCAACTACCCCTCCAACTATCCACTATTTGACTACCACACCCCACAACAACCAACACACCATTTCCAACCCAATTTCAAACATGGACATTGGGCTTGACTACGGAAGCACCGTTGACAGTGGACCTCCCAGCTATTGGGGTCACATGATGCAAGACCTCCTAGCTGATACGCCGGGGACCTCCTAGCTGATACGCCGGGACCGTCCCAACATAATCCTCCTCCACAACTCAACACACAACGACCAGACACACCACAACAACCTCGTCGTAGACCTCGTCGCAGCGCGCATCCCCCACAATGTGGCACCGGTGGTCGCTTGGATAGAGTCGGCCATTAGTTTTTTTTGTTCAATTGTAATTTCATTCTAATATATTTTAATATTAATTAAATTTCTATATCTTTTAATGTCATTTAAATATCAATTAATTATAAAAAACATATATTTTTTAGTCTTTTAAAGCAATTTAAATTAAATTATATTTTATATTTTTCATAAACTATAATTTAATTTAAATTGCTTTTACGAAAAAAAACAAAATAATTTAATATTTATTTCATTTTTTTTAATATTACTTAAACTTCAATTAATTATTTAAAACTTTTAATATTTAAAAGATATAAAAATAATCTAAATTAATTAAACCCTAAAATGAGAAAAAAAATTGAAACACACTCATTCGCTAATCAGCATGGCGAATTTTTTGGAAATTGGCCTCATTCGCCAATCCAGATGGCGAATTCATCTATGCCATTTTCCATTTCTTCTTATTCGCCAATCCATATGAACGGACGTTGAATTGCTGGCTTAAAATTATTTTTAAAATATTAATTATTATGGTAATTTATATTTAATATATGGTTATTATAAAAAAAAATTCTTTTTTAGTTTTATGTTGCTTTTCAAATGCAGAGGATGTGTTTAGTTCACGCCACTGTTTTAGTTTGTTTTTAGTGCAAGACAATTAATTTGAAAAGAACAATTTAATGACTCATTCAATGTTGGTTTTAGTTAAAAGAATTGATTTTAAATTGGTTTAAAATGTGCTGTTGTCGTGCGGGAGACTGACTTTTCTTTTCTTTTTCATCTCTTATCGCATACCACTTCTTGACCTTTTAACAAAAACTACAACCATCACTCTCTTGCCAACAGTAGCGCTGGTCGTTACTTGTTGGAGTTTTTGTTTTTGTTTCCATTATTTTTATTTTGATATAGGAAATTTTATCTCATATTCATACAATTATATCTATACCTCTGCAATTTTAAAAAAATATTAAATTTATTCTTGTATATTTTTTATTATATTATTTTTTTTTTACTTTTTACTGTGCTTTGTCAGATTTTTAGAGTTCCGAGAAATTCACCAATCGAGTCTTCCAGAACACTTTTAAAATGATTTTTGGTATGTTGTTTTTTTCCAAACCGGAAGACTTTGTCAAAGAGTTCCGATTTATACACAATATGTACTGGAAGAGTTTATCAAAGACTTCCGGTTTGCGTTTTTCGTAGAATTTTACCGGAACACTTTTCTTAAGAGTTCCGGTACTTGTAAAAAGTGTACCGGAACACTTTTTACAAGTCTTCCGGTTTGATAACGTTGGCTATCGAAACTCTTTTCTTGAGTCTTTCGGTTTGCATTTGTAATTCTTTTTTTGTTATTTTATTTTTATGCAGGTACAAAAATTCCTTTACAAATATGCGATAAAGATCAGATATGCGTAGATATGTCTGATGTTTTTTCAACTACTCAAAGATTTGGTACACGAGAAGAGGTGATAAGATGGATTAAAGAGATCGGAATCCGAAATAAAGTAACAGTTATCATCACTCGTTCAGATAGTGAAACAGACAAGAGAGGAAGAAGTAACAAATTAATATTTGGATGTGATAAAAGAGGAAAACACAAAGATATTGATAGTGGAACCCAGAGTGCGACGGAAAAATGTGGATGTCCATTTAGAATCAGATCAATTCCAGCGACTGATGGATCTGGATGGAAGATTGATGTAAAATGTGGAGTTCATAACCATGATTTATCTGATACATTAGAAGGTCACGCATTTGTTGGTAGGTTGACAGCGGATCAGAAGCAACATGTTGTTGATTTGACAAAGAGAAAGGTTCCACCTAGACATATATTGCTTTCATTGCAAGAGCAAGATCCAGATAATGTCACTCGGATCACGCAAATATACAAGCAGGAGAGTATGATAGAAAAAAATATAAGAGGTCCTAGAAGTGAGATACAACATTTGTTTAAGCTTATTGAGGATGCAGGTTATGTTTATTGGAGTAGAAAAAGAGATGGCTCTGAAGTTATTAGAGATATATTTTGGGCTCATCCAGATTCAGTTAAGTTGTTGAATATTTTTCCTTTTGTGTTAGTTATGGACAACACTTACAAGACAAACAAATATAGGCAACCTCTATTTGAAATTGTTGGCATGACATCAACCGAGTTGGCTTTTGTTGTCGCATTTGCCTATATTGAGTCTGAGCAGACTGAGACTTTTTGTTGGGTGCTAGATAAGCTTAAACAATTGTTTGTGAAGAAAGAGTTGTGTCCACAAGTGATTTTGACAGATAGAGATCTTGCTTTGATGAAAGCCATTGAAATTGTGTTTCCAAGGTCGATTAATTTGCTATGTCGATTTCATATTAACAAGAATGTTAGTACAAAACGGAAACAATATGTGGCTAGTGACATGCAAAAGAAAATTGACGAATTATGGACGGATGTTGTATGGGCTAATGATGAGACCCTTCGTATCATGAGTATGTTGATCAAGCATCTCAATCTTCACAGAGGCAATCTCAACCATCACAAACTTCAAAGAAGTTGAAATTATCACAGTCTTCACAATGAAAGATCAAGTTTGTATGCCAATTTATTTACTAATCAGTTAGCAGTAGTGAGAGAATCTTTGATGATAGAGGAATTTGATCCTCAACCACCACATAAATGGTTAACTCTACCAGATATGGGTTACGTGATAGCGAATCGTTATAATGTTGTACTTGTCTGTTTAGGAATTGAATGCTGGACTTTCTTCCCTATGACAACTTCATTTTCACTAAATGTAGCAATTTACTGCATTGGTTTTGTAAACAAAAAACATTGGGTTCAGGTACTTAGTTGTTTTTAGATAATGGGATTAAACCTAATTCTTTTTGGTTATTTTTATTTAATAATTTGATTATTTTTTTATTTAGGTAAACATGAAAGAAGGGTTTCCATTGCCACCAGTGACAGTAGATTGGAAGAAGTTTGGTTCTCCAGCAGCAACATCTTGAATGCTAGGATTTGCAGGACGTCTACAACATTGGCAACAACTTACGCCTATATTACCAACGCATTATGAATTATAAATTATGTTACTCATTTTTAATTTCAAAACATGAATCGTGAATTATGTTATTCATTTTTAATTTCAAAACATGAATCGTGAATTATGTTATTCATTTTTAATTTCAAAACATGAATCGTGAATTATGTTATTCATTTTTTATTTTAGGCTACAAGTTAACACATAAACATAAACCAACTAGGTCAAATGAGTCTAAAAATTAACACATAAACATAAACCAACTAGGTCAAATGAGTCTAAAAGTTAATACATGAACATAAACCAATTAGGTCAAATGAGTCTAAAAGTTAACATATAACCATAAATATAAATATAAGTCATTGTGATCGAGCAATATGTAAAGCTTTGAACAAATCAGCAAACTGTGGGTCATCCTCTTCAGCACCAACCTATTGAAGATAACAATGAATCAATGAAGACGCACGAGCCAAGATAGGATCAGATGGTCCTGCTTCATGTACAATAACTGGCATCTCTGTTGTCGCATCACGATTAGGCGGTACCAGAAGAGGATACGAAACACGATAATACCATTGAAGATATCCATCATCTGTCTCATATGGGGTGGTGGCCGGTGCTGTCAGACGAATCATATCTTGAACACTCTGATGGTAACTAATCCAGTCAACATCAATATCACCAGCCATCGTATAATCAAGAGGTGGATGTGGGACATACTGCCTGTATCCAAACTGACGCATACATCTGTCAGGCAAGTATGGAACAATAGAGTCACCCCCACCTCAGACACCCCCTATATAGACATAACTCATCAAACTGACGCCATACTCTATGATTCTTGAATGAGCGCCATATGACATCGGCAGGTGTCAGATTGTCCAAAATAGGTCGCAAGTCATCCACCTTCAAGGCACCTTGCCTATAGGACCATCTCATCGCTCGAGGGAGACCCACATTATTAGCTAGTATCCAGTTCTCTCCTTTTTTTCCAATTGTTGGAAAATACTCATGAATCTAGCACTGTTACAAAATTAATATTGTTACTAAATTTAAAATAATTAATTATAACATAATAAACTAGATAAATAAAATTAATATACTAGATAAAATTAATTAAAACAAAATATACTAAATTAAAATAAATATATGTAGAAGAGTCGGATAACCACCAAGCTGCTTACAACTGAACATGGAAGCATCTCTGAGATATCTATAAAGAGTAACCAACGCAGCTGCTCCCCAACTGTATCCTGATAAGCCATCCAAGTCTATAAATAATGAGAGGTATCGTGCCTCGACAAGCGTAAATGTCTTGTCCGCAAAAATAGTGGAACCCACTAACATCAACAAATAAGCTCTAGTGGCATAATCCCATCTAGATGCAGCTCTATGCTCTACGAATTGATCATATAACCACTCCAACTTATAGTAGGAACCCCTGCAGTCACTGACTTGTTGTTGTGCCACTCTCCGTGACACTCCTAAATAATCAACAACCCACTCAACATCAAGCGCTTCACTGATATCTTGAGGGCT